ACGTAACTACGTTAATCCTACCATAAAACAATAAGAGAAGGTACGACCTCTCTCGTGCTCCCAGGATGTGGGTGTGCATTCTAGTGTGGAATACACACCAAGCCTTTGCAGCCTGCTAAAGATCACAGTCCTATCACTACACAATTGATTTTACACCTCTAAGCATATATGGTTAAATATTTCTAAGCATAAATGACAATCAACAATACAAATAACTACATGCAGTATTCTACCATATGCAAACTTATATCACTAAAAGATTATACTGACTACTAAATACAATTTTCCATTAACAAATCCTAAAAGGTTGATTCTGTTTATCTGGACGTAGCAGTTTCAGTGGCAGAAACGCTTCATCAATCATCCAAGTGACTTCTTCAGTCTCAGCTGACTCCAGGTTTCTCCAACCTTATAAACAGTACCTTTGCACAATGACTGAAACTAGCACCACTGACTACCAATGGGCTCTAGATGTCAGTTTCTTGATCATTTATATGTAAACTGTCATAATCAAAACCACTTATCAATGTCCATGATTACCATTCACAGAGATTTGGGGAATGGCTGCAATCACAGCATTGTAAGAAGAGTTGTTCTTTCGGGAGATCAACATTGGAATTTCCATACCTGGATGATTGAACATGCATCAAGAAATATGAAGTGGAATATTTACCTCAACACTGACCAAGTGCAGCCTATGATCCAGCTTTCTTGATATATCCTCCAGATTTTGGAGGCTGTCATTTCTCTATAGTTTGTCATTGGGGCAAAAAAGTAAAAATAACAGTAAATGAATAAAAGTTTAAAATCCCAGTATGTCATGTTTAATTATGCCATGTCATGTTTAATTATGCCAATTTTGGCTCGCACAGTGGTTACGTCTATCCTATTCTCCAGCATTGACAGTTTTTCAGTCTGTTATAAAAAAAAGAAAAAAAAATCCAAGCATGTAATTTCATGTTTCATTGTGTTATTTGTTTGTGAAAACTCATAGACTAAGTGCAATCTTTACCTGAGCTTTGACGGTTTTCTGCATATGATCCAGCTCTCTTGATATATGCTCCAGATGTTGCAGGTTATCATTTCTCTGTAGATTGTCATTGGGGCAAAAAAGTGAAAATTAAAGTAAATAAATCAAAGTTTAAAATCCCAGTATGTCATGTCATGTTTCATCATGTCCTTTTTGGCTCGTACAATGGCAACGTTCAGTGTACGTGCTAGCTCGTCCATCCTATTTTCCAGCCTCGACAGGTTGTCAGTCTTTTATAAAAAAAAGAATTTTTTTTTAGTATGTTATGTAATGTTTCATTGTGTCATTGTTTTGTGAAAACTCATTGGACTGAGTGCAATCTTTACCTGAGCTTTGACCGTTTTCTGCATGTGATCCAGCTTCCTTGAGATATTCTCCAGATGTTGCAGGCTATCATTTTGCTGTAGTTTGTCATTAGGGCAAAAAAGTAAACATAAAAGTAAATAAATCAAAGTTTAAAATCCCATTATGTCATGTCATGTTTTATTATGTCATTTTTGGCTCTTACAATGGCCACGTTCAGTGTATGTGCCAGCTTGTCCATCCTATTCTCCAGCCTCGACAGTTTGTCAGTCTGTTATAAAAAATTTTTTTTTAAAAATCCTAGTATGTTATGTCATGTTTCAGTGTGTCATTTTTTGGTGAAAACTCATTGGACTGAGTGCAATCTTTACCTGAGCTATGAACATTTTCTGCATGCGATCCAGCTCCCGTGATATATTGTCCAAATGTTGCAGGCTATCATTTTGCTGTAGTTTGTCATTGGGCCAAAAAAAGTAACAATAAAAGTAAATAAATCAAAGTTTAAAATCCCAGTATGTCATGTCATGTTTCATTATGTCATTTTGGCTCTTACAATGGCCACGTTCAGTGTATGTGCCAGCTTGTCCATCCTATTCTCCAGCCTCAACAGGTTGTCAGTCTGTTATGAAAAAAAGAAAAAAAAATCCCAGTATGTCATGTCATGTTTCATTGTGTCATTGTTTTGTGAAAACTCACTAAGTGCAATCTTTACCTGAGTGTTGATCGTTTTCTGCATGCGATCCAGCTCCCTTGATATATCCTCCAGATGTTGCAGGCTATCATTTCTCTATAGTTTGCCATTGGGCCAAAGAAGTAAAAATATAAGTAATAAATCAAAATTAAAAATCCCAGTATGCCATGTCATGTTTCATTGTGTGATTTTTTTTGTTCGTACAGTGGCCACATTCAGCTTACGAGCCAGCTCCTCCATCCTATTCTCCAGGCTCAACAGTCTGTCAGTCTGTTATAATAAACAAAAAAAAATCCTAGTACGTCATGTCATGGTTCACTGTGTCAATGTTTTGTGAAACCCATGCTTTAAGTGCATCACTTTACCTGAGCTCTGACCTCATCCAGCACCCGAGCCATCTCCCCCACCCTTATCTCTAGCTTCTGTACTCTATCATTTACATCTCGAGGAGATCTTCGATGCTCCAGTACCACAGCTCTCTGCATCTGATCACTCTGATGGTCCTGAGGATGATGGCTGGTGTCAGTCAGAGAATCTTTGGTTCCTAAAATATAAATCCTGGTAAACTGGGTGGGAATGACAGGATCTTATAGTTGGGGCGTTAGTAAAAATCTGGTTTATCAGTGAATAATCAGATATGTTTTTCTGTTCATGAGGAGTCCACTGATCGAAATAGTGCAAGAGTATTAAAAATACAATAAATGATCAGAGGCAATAATGAGGAGAAATAATGAGGTTAAGAAAAAATACATAGTTTGGGTAAAAATGAAGTCGGCTACGTACACATTATGCCTATACTGTAGGAGCTGCTCATTCATGTAAACCTGCTCCACAGTGTTTGTGCTGATGTTAAGGCCTGAGTAGGTTTGCTCTTTACAACGACCCATTCATTGCCAAATTTTTGTAAACGTAGACTGCATGACTAGGTGCATGATTTATACACCTGTGTGTGAAATCATATGGAATTGAAAACACCTGAATTAAAAGATAATGAGATATGGCCCAGTGCATATACTGTATATGTACCAGCTATGTGTAGAGGTAATAATTTATTCATACAGTACTGTGCAAAAGTCTTGAGCAACCACATATTTCTCTATAATTTTTTAAAGAAAATGGAACTGCCAATTTTTGGGGGGACATTGTGCAAACATTCATAAAAATATATACAATATATAAACACAAAAACAGAGTTTGTACAACTCTAACGAGCTTAAAAGTCAATATTGGATATGACCACTGTCCCCACCTGACTACCGTGTTTTAAATGCACTTTAGAACAACACACAGCAACACTACACATCCCACATAGCAAAATGGGTATGCCCCAGATCTGGCCCACACAATGTGCTTACACATGGCCCACATACTGCAAAGAATGATGGCCCTTTGGTGGCCCAGATCTGGTTTGCCAGAGGTGGCTTACACATAGGCCAGCACAAGGCCAGTTGTAGACACGCTGGTGGTTGTGTGCTGGCCCATGTGTGGATTACCTCTGGCCAACCTGATCTGGGCCACCAAAGGGCTGTCATTCTTTGCAGTATGTGGGCCATGTGTAAGTTGTGTGCAGCCACGGGTCAGTTGCAGACACACTGCTGGCCCTGTGCTGGCCTAGAACAGTTTCAGCTCTGGACCCAGATGTCAGCCTAATCTGAACCTTAATCAAGCCATGTAACAACAACATGTGCCGGAACATAACAGTGCAAAAGTAACAAGATGAAACTCTGTTCAGGCAGTTAATGTACTGATTCTTATATAGCACTTTTCTATTCTTCCGGATTGCTTAAAGTGCTCTATACAACATGCCACATTTACCTATTTTCTCACATCTGGTTGACATACATCCTGAAACGACACCAGTCAGTCAGAAGTGTCAGCTTGATGCCAGATCTGTGGAAGACCTGTTTTCTATGAGCCTGGGCCTCATACACCAAACCATAATCGGGCCAGATATGGCATGCCATCACATAAACAGTGCCATCTACGCCAGGCCTGGACCATATCTGGATGACATCCCACTTACCATGCCAGAAGTCAGCCAGCAGTGCCAGCTTGACACCAGATTCGGACCAGACCTGTCTGCTATGTGGTATGAGCAGGAGGAGGGAGGTATGGGGCAGAGATGGGCATACTGTAATCTGATTACTTTTTTCAAGTAACGAATAAAGTAAGGGATTACTATTGCAAAATCGGTAATTAGATTACCGTTACTTTCCCGTAGGAACGCTGCATTACTGCGTTACTAAAACCGTGATTTTTTTGCAAGAATGTCTCATGACAGTGACGTAAGCGAGTGCGCCGTTGGTGACAACAGCTGTGTGCAGATCAACAATGGATCACATATCGATTGTGGGAGAGAGTATGAGCATGAGCGTGCAGCGTTTAAAGCGTGGAAGTACTGACCTTACTTTGAGTTTGATTCCATAAAAAGTGACAAAAACATTAGCGTCCGTTGTGC